CTTTATTTCATGTATCCGTGACATATGCTACAGATTCAGAATCTAGGGTTTATAAATGTGTATTGGATATGTCATCTTTTGTATTGATCAAAGTTATGGATGGAATAGAAGATATGATATTATTGATCATTTGTAAGAAATGTTATTTGTTGGATTATTGTTATTTATTTTGGGACGTTACAATATCACATCCAAACCATAATCATTTCATTTTTTTCCCGACAAAAGTCAAAAAAATCAAGGGCAAATTACAAAAAAATTAAAAAAAAATTAAAAAACCCCAAAGTTTCCCGTGTTTTCCAATTTAAACCCCAAGATTTCAATTTTGACAAATTAAACCCTGGAGTTTCTTTCGTGTTTCAATGTGAACCCTCCGTCCATATCTGTTTGATTGAACTAACGGAATCTGGGCAAAATTCTCAGATTCAAACACACATGTTCAAACACTTGTATCTCCCTCGTCGTAACTCTGTTTCGTATCATTTTTATGTCGTTGGATTCACCTCATTGCCTAGTTTTCATTCCATCTCTCATACGCCTTGTTCTACCTCATTTTGTGTGGCATTGGAACTCTGAAATTTGGCCAAAATAAGATTTTTCTCTCTTTAGGAAAAAATTTCAGATTCAAATACACATGTTCAAGTACTTGTATCTCCTTTATCATAACTCCGTTTCGCCTTACTTTTGCATTGTTGGATTCACCTCGTGGCCTAGTTTTTGTTCCACCCCTCATAAGCCTCGTTCCACATCTTTTTGCATACTGTCAGAGCTCCGAAAGTTAGCCAAAAATAAGATTTTTCTCTCTTTGGACAAAATTTTCATGTTCAAACCCACATGTTCAAGCACTTGTATTTCCCTCATCATAAGTTTGTTTCTCCTCATTTTTGCATCCTTGGATTCACCGCATGGCCTAGTTTTCATTTCACCCTCTCATGCGCCTTATTCCACCTCTTTTTGTATGTCACCAAAGTTTCAAAAGTTGGCCAAAAATAAAATAATTTTCTCTTCTTTCCTCCCCCACCCCCTCTATCTTTTATCTCCATGCTTCTTCATTCCTACTTTCTTTCCACAAGTATGGAGTTATAAGATAGACGAAGAAAAACAAAAAACAAAAAAAAACAAAAAAAGAGAGAAAAATCTTTTTTTGGCCAATTTTCAAAGCTCTAACAACATGCAAAAAAGTGGTGGAACAAGGCATATAAGGAGTGGAATGAAAACTAGGTCATGAGGTGAATCCAACAGTGCAAAAATGAGGCAAAATGAAATTACGACGAAAGAGATACAAGTGGTTGAACATGTGTATTTGAATCTGAAAATTTTGCTCAAATAGAGAAAAATCTTATTTTGGCCAACTTTCAGAGTTCCAACGACACACAAAACGAGGTAGAACAAGGCGTATGAGAGGTGGAATGAAAACTAAGCAATGAGGTGAATCCAACAACGCAAAAATGAGGCAAAACGGAGTTACAACGAGGGAGATATAAGTGTTTGAACATGTGTGTTTGAATCTGATAATTTTGTCCAAATTCCATTAGTTCAATCAAACGGATATGGACGAAGGGTTCACATTGAAATACGGAAGAAACTCCATGGTTTAATTTGTCAAAATCGAAACCTTGGGATTTAAATTGAAAAACACGCGAAACCCTAGGGTTTTTTTGTAATTTGCCCAAAATTTAAAAAGTTCATTCCAAACGAGACTTTTAGCCCCTGATTAAACTAATTATAAAGTGTAAATGGCAAAAAGCCAACCCACATCCCAAACGAACACAATCTTTATATTTAAAGACAAAAACAAAAACAAAAAAATCACATTAAATATAGTATTTATAAACTAATATATTAAAAGCAATGCTATGGTACTATTTGATAAAGTTAAAAAAAATTAAAAATTAAGTATTAAAAATTGAATGTTGAATTTTTTAAATTGAAAAATTATTTCATAAAAATTTAAGTGCTAAATTAAAATAAGTTCTTTGATATGTATAAAATGAAATTTAAAATTTATTATTTTCAAATTATGCATTTTAATTTTTATATTGTCACGGTGTTAATAGTGGTGGTGGTGGTGGTGATGGTGATGGTGATGGTGATAATAGTTGTGGAAGCATTGGTGATGATGACGGTGACATGGTGGCGGCGACGACATGGTAGCATTGATGGTAGTGGTAGTAGGATTAACGATGATAGTGGTAGTAAAATGATGGTTATGCTTATGATAACCATGGTGATGAAGGTTGATAGTATTGGTTGAGGTGATGAGTGTATAATAATGTATATCAATACTTATATTTAATTTTTATAAATTCAATTAGAATTAAATAAGTTTCATGTGACTTAAAATTTTCTTAAATTTTGGCTTTACATTTGAAGAAACACTTAGGCTTCGTTTGGTAAGCAAATCAAATTATAGTTTCACTCATTGATTTGAGTGTTTTGTTTGTTTTGAACTTTCAAATCATAATTCTACACCCATTTCTCAAAACTCAATTCAGAACATAATTATTACTTTTTAAAACTCATAACCAAAGACATAATTCAAAACTCAATTCAAATCAATATTTTAAGAGTTAATTACCAAAAAGTCCTGTCTACATATTTGGTGGTAACTTAGGTCCTGTCAATAAGTTTTTGAACTAATAAGTCCCATTTATAAGTAAAAAGACGTTTTGCCCTTTAATCCCAAAACTGAGAATGTTCTAAATTTCAAAACTGAGAATGTTCTCAATTTTCAAAACGGAGAATGATTTCAGTATATAATTATCAAAACTAAAAAAATTCTGTTTGACTTCTGAGAAAAGTATGGGATTGAAAAGAAAGATAATTCTGCGAACTTGACACATTAGATTACTGAATTGAGTTTTTTTTCATGATTAAAATTGAGAATATTATAAACTGATAATATTCTCAATTTCAAAAAACTTTTGCAAATTCAATAAAATTTGATAATCTACAACAAAATTTATGAAACTATCCGGTATTACCTATTTTAAAAAAAAAAGTTTCAACACCCAAACTGCAGAGAGAGAGATTAGTTTGATGTGATCATCTCCGAGAGAGAGCCCATGCGAGTGAGCCGATGATTATGATCCAGCCTTGAGTGGATTGGGCTGATGAAATAAAAATCGTTTAAGGAAGAAACGATTACAAGAAAGGGAAGTTGTTATGGCTGTCGGAGAATCTCAGGGACGAGAATCTATGGCCACTGGTGGGAGATTGCTGCAATGAGGGCTTTGGGGAGATTTCTTCAAAGTCTGATTCATTCTAGATGTCACACCCCAAATCCGGGCATGACCGGCCGTGGCCCACAGGGACTTAGCCCAAGGCACACGTAAGCCTTAACACGAATCCAATCACATTGAACAACTGAACAATAGTCCAATAATAAATAACCAAAACTCAATCCAGACATGTCACAATTATAAATGGCAAAATCAACCGTAATAAAAAACCATCCAAACTTATGGGATATAAACAACCCACATATCAAAAATAATCCTAAATGAACTTCGATAAGAATAAATATAAATATGCACAAACTTGACATAACACTCTAAACTAAAGGAATGCCCTAGAGGTCCATGCAATTGAGTCCCCGCTACGCCATGAGTCCACTCTAAGTCCTTCTAACACCTGGAAATGATAAAAACTAAGTCAGTTGATAGCTCAGTGAGTAGCAACATGGATAGTAAATACAGTTTTGAAAACAAGGTTCAATTCCAAAATAAGATATATATCACAGAAACTAGATTGGCATACAGTTTGGAAAATACAATCTGTTTCAAAAAGAAGGTTCCACAATTCAACACTTAAAATACTCATGTCTCGCAAGAACATGATAAACGACATTTTCCATGTGATAGCTAAATTCATTGCTAATCTATCAAAATCATAATCTGTTAGTTATTTTGTCTTAAGCTTCAATTTATCTGTTATACTATTTGTGATTAGCTACTTCACTGATTAATTTCATTACCATGCTTAATGAAACTAACTATTTTTCATTTACTAAATCTACCTATTATCAATTAATCATTTGCTATACTAGTTGTTAATTTTATTGGGGTAAAAAGAGTTTGGTTATGAGTGTTGATCAGAATTTTCAATAGTGTGAAAGTAGTGTGTTTTGTTATGAGTTATAACAATTTGAATTAAGTTTTGAAAACTCTTTCCAAAACTCATAACCAAACAAATTTTCTTACTTCACATGTCAAATCAAACTTTCAAAACTCAATTTCACACTCAATTCAAAACTCAATTCAATTCACTATTCAAAAACCATAACCAAACAAATTTTCTATACTCAAATCATAATTTCATAACTTACAAACTCAAAATACAACTCATACTCTCAAATCATATTTACAAAACTCTACCAAACACAACCTTAAATTTTTAAGTGATATCAATTGTGGTTATTAAACGGATTTAATTGGATATCACTTAATACATTCAATTTTAAGTGCTCAATCAAATTATCACATAGTCTTACTAAAAACATATATATCCAAATATCATTCGATGTTTAAATAACATTATTTTTTAAACAATTAATCATATTTAATCTCTTATATTTTTAGTAAGATTGTTAGTGTACCTACAATTAGTCATATATTAATACCAAAAACAAATTCATAATTTCATATTTAAAAAAAAAAAAATCTAAAGTTGATAATGCTACCAAATATATGTTAAGTATAAAAGTCAATACAAAAGTTAACAAAATTATGAATGTGACAAACGACACAACTAGGTGGGTTCATTCCAACTCTTTCAAAAAAAAAAAAAATGCCCCTTGTACTACACATACATTTTTGGAGTGGTGATTCATCTCACTGATTTTTAGACCACTAATAGCTCTAATAAGCTTAAAAAAAAATTAAAAAAAACAAACTCAAGCCAAAACATCACATCACTTTGGTGGGAGCCACTGTGCCACATCATTAGTGATGCTCTAGAGCTCCTAATTCTTTTTATATTATTTATGAATTTAAAAGAAGGACAAAATGGGAAATTTATATTATTTTTGTACTTAATTTTTGAAGAGGGACAAATATTTTAAGACAATAAAAAATAAAATAAGGGACTAATATTATGGGACGGAGGGAGTACATCTTTGCTTTTGCGGTCTGGCACTCAATGAAGCTTGTTGTCAATCAATTTTGATTTAAAGTTGGACCAACTCGTTGACTAGACCCTCCAAGTCTCTCCAAGAGCTCCCACTCTCCTTAACTGCTTCCACTGCCTTGTCTTTCAGTTCCTTTGCTCTCACCTTCTGGACACTTGTGTCTCCACTCATTGAATTAGCAATGGTCTGAGCCAACTCAGTTGAGTCAGGGACCGCATCGGCACCCTCGCACACACGGACCCCAGCTCCTACGTCCTCCACCAACAGCCTTGCGTTCACAAATTGGTCTGCTTCCATGGGCCACGCCAATATCATCCCCCCAGCCATAATTCCCTCCAACACCGAGTTCCACCCGCAGTGAGTCAAGAATGCACCAACAGCTCGGTGACTCAATATCAATACTTGCGGAGCCCACCCTCTTATCAGAAATCCTCTTTTAGCCGCACGATCTTTGAACCCACATGGAATCACACCATACTGTCCCTCCACGTGTCCCTTTGTTGGCTCCTTGATGCACCATATAAACTTAACCCCACTTTTCTCCAACCCATCCGGGCAGCCATCGAGCCATGCCAACACCCTGTCTCCTGAATCCTTATCCGGGTTGACCCGACCAATGGTTTTAGCCCCACCAGCCAAACTAAGAGGCCCAACTCCCCAAACCCGTTGATGGCCCATTTTCTTCTTCAAGTGATCCAAATACTCACCTTCCAAGGCATCAAGAGAATTAAAAACGCAGCCCCAACTGGCTATATTAGCGAGCATGCCATCCTTAAGAAACTCCCCATCAGGATCCGATTCCCTATATACTCGGTATATAGAAGGAAGATGGTCCGCAGTGAAACTCGGCGATCTTGGTAGATCGGGAAAATGAACGACGGGTAAAGAACGGACAGTGTTGATATTTTGCCAAATGAAATTAGAGACAGAGGCTAAAAAAGAGCCAGATGAGTAAAAAACGATCCTGGGGATACCAAGTTGGTGCGCAAGGTGTAGCGTCCAGCCAAGGAAGAAATCAGAGAGGATAGCCACAGGGGGTGATGGGTGGGACTTGAACCAGTGGATTATTGGATCGTGAAGCTTGCCGAGGGCGTTGATCATGGGTAAGTTGCCTGCGTTGCCGATGTCCTTGATGTTCTCGACGCCAGAGGGGAGAGACGGGTGGGATGGGAAGGGAAGGACCAGGGTCTGGATTGAAGATGGGTGGTGGGTTGAGAGGAGAGGGTTCAGGATTGGGAGGTTCTTTGGTGTCACGAGAATGGTTATGGTGATGCCACGGAGGGCTAGTTGGTGGGTTAGGTCCAGCATGGGTAACATGTGGCCTTGAGCTGGGTATGGAAATATCAGGATATGAACACCTTTGATGGAGTTCGACATGGTTTTTTGGTTTTTTCTTTCTTGAGAGAGAGAGAGAGAGAGAGTTGGTAAGGATCAGCAGTTTGCAGTGTGATTTGGTTTTAAAATGTTAAAAAATTAAAAGGATAATTTTTAATTAATTAAGGTGTCAAAATAGGCAGCTTGTTTAGAGTTGGTTTGGCATGTTCTACAAAAATATATGTTTTGACTTATTGGCTTATATGGGTTTGATTTGGATTGGGTTTGATGTGATATGTTAGAGAAGTGATGTGATTTAAATAAGATGATGTGATTTAAATAGGATAGTGAATTTTTGACTTTTTGTATTATTTAGGTTATGCCAAACTTGACCTTAGAACATAATTTACGAATTATTTATTATTTTATTAATTTATTTAAATCATTTTATTTTTTTATATTTATTTTTATAATAAATAAAAAAATCAATCTATAAATTCTTTTCAAAGCAATACTAAATAAATGAGTATGAATTCTTGACTTAATGAAAAAAAGTCTTGCTGGAAAATGTAATCTCTATTTAAAAAGTAAATTTCACTATTTTACATGTAATTAGAAAATGTGTCACACTTCTTTTGAATGTGTGGACAAAATCAAACATAATAGGTAGTGGAATGGTGATGATACCCTTATGTTACAAGAATAATGCCCCTGCGGGCTCACAGCACTGTCACTGTTACTCTCAATGTCACTATCACTATTCTAGATGGTGCAAGATCCAAAATAAATACAAAAATATATAATTTATTTTGGATATGTAAAATTTATAATTAAATTTATAAATTTTATTATGAATATGTAATTATTTATAAAAAAATATCTCTAATCTGTAATTTTCTTCTTCTATTAACTTTTAATTCACACTATGCATTCCCCTTCTGAGGATAATTTTAAAATAAATTTTTATAATTTTTAATATATTTTAGATAATTTAAAAAAGATCGATGATGGACAAAAATAAAAACAACAAATAAAAATTAAAAATTAAAAAAGAAGAAGAAAATAATGGCCTCGAGCGAGACCCTTATTTTCTGAAAATTCTGAAAAGTATTTTAAAATACATCTTTGCATCCTCATTCCATCCTAGGCATTCCTAGGCCTAGTTTAAAGCATCTTAATGGGGATATTGATATAGAACCACACCGAGTCAAGTTAGGGACTAAGTTATTGTTTCCCAAACGTGCAACTTAGTGTGTGTTCATCCTGTT